GGGGGGGGGCAACAGTGTCCTGGCCCCACTGCTGCACCTCCTGGTGGCACCTGGTATTCTTGGCCACTGTGTGACACAGAGTGTTGGACTCGATGTGCCATTGGCCTGATCCAACATTGGCTTCTTATGTTCAAAGGCAGCCCTGCCAGTTACAGAAACAGTCCTTAACTCTCTGCTTCAGATTTCTTTCCAATTCCTTGCCTACCGGCAGCGGGCACTTCCACTGCTTGAAGAGAGAGACGCTCTCCTTGGTAAAGAAGAGGAGCCTCTTGACAGTTGACGGAAGAGTACAGCTACCACCGCTGTGGTGGAGAAACCCAAGAAAAGGGATTTTCGACCTCCTGACCCCGGAGACGTCCGTTCATGCCTCTCTCTCTGCCTGGAACCTGGTCCAAAGAAGGCATGTCCTTTGGCACTACTTAACGGATAGAAAATGGAAAGAAAAATGAGCCAGACAAAGTCTGAGATGAACATGGTTCTCTGTCCCTGTCAAAACCAAAAAGGGAGGATATGTGGGTCTCACATTTCAAGCGCAACAGGAGATCACTACTGGTGCTAATGGCAGAAGCTACCTCTTTGTGGATCTTTGTCTTCACCCATCAGGTTCCACCTCTCTTTGTTTGGGATGGGGGGGGGTCCTCTGTTGTGCACGTACGGGACTTTTCTTTTATTGTACGTCAGTCTATATGCCGCGGGGAGGGGCACAAATAAAGCTCCTATCCGGTCTCTTGCTGTGCAGGTTAATTCTTTCCTCAGAGGAAGACTCTCCACCCCTGAAGTATTGCAACAACTTTTTAAATGAGACTGGGAAAGGACTGATGTCTGCCTGTAGATCTGCAGAGCTGAAGCAGCCGTGTACAAAGGGCCACCCAGGGAGGAAGGCCACGGGTAGGGGCTGCAGGCAAAAACTCTCCTTGGTCCCCAAAGGCGAGTCAACTAATTTTCAAGCCTGTTCAGTGACCTGTCAATAACACTAGGAACCGTGCTGTTCACTTCACGGAGCACGTGGAAGGGGGAAGGGCCATCCACCCGCAGCCCACTGGAGAGGACGCCAAAGGTTTTCAAGGCCTTGATGCATCATGACCCGGGACTTCCTTGGAGGTCTCCCGTCCAAGTACTAGCCAGGGCCAACCTTGCTTAGCTTCTGAGATCTGGTGAGACCAGGCTAGCAGGGCATGGAGTGCAGAGCAGTAAGTTATAAAAATGCACTTCCTGTTGACATGGGAGTCAGAACAAACCGATCTGCTCTAAGCAGGGGTCATTTAGTAGAAGAAGAGGTGCAGGAGCTCATTAGCATGACTCATTTGCCACACACCCTGACATCACCAGAAGTGTGTCAGAAGGCAACACCCACCGCTCAGGCTCCACTGGACTGTTTTGGATTGCTAGCTGTTGGGGGGGGGGGCGCACAGATCTGCCCTCACAGAGGAGGGAGAGCTTGTACCTGAAGGCGGGCTGGGGGGGGGGAGCTCTGCAACTTACCTGGCTGCTTCCTGCTCCTCGTGGCCCGACTGAGGGCTGCTGGGAGCAGGGGGCGGGGCTTGTCACCCCTGGGCTCCTCACTGCTGGAGCTCCGCTCCTGTGCGCTCCGGCAGGAAATGGCCCCTGGCTCTAAGCCAGAGGCACCCCACAAGCATTCTGAGGGGTGGTTCTTGTATTGCCCAAGCAAAGACTCCCGAGTACAGGCACACGCTGAGGGTACCATTTGATAGTGTGCTACTGTGGTAGTACATGGCTACTTAATAGCCTACTGGGCTGTGGAGGTGACTAGAAGGGAACTTCTCTGCTTGTACCTCTCTCTCTTTCTGAGACAGGGAGCCCTCTCTGCAAACACCATCCGTTCCCAACACGCGAGGGCTGTTGGCTTTCTGCAATGGCCCGGATCCAGTGTTCCCTCTAAGCTGAGTTGGTGTGAGCTAGCTCACAGTTTTTTAGCCTTCGGCTCACACATTTTTGTCTTGGCTCAAGAAGGAGGGCTCCAAAGCAAGCTAATTGATGCAGCAGCCAAATTGCTCGCTCACAGCTTTAATGCCGGTAGCTCACAAAGTTGAAGTTTTGCTCTCAGGACTCCACAGCTTAGAGGGAGCATCGCCTGGGCCCCCCACCACCAGACAAAACACAGAGCATAAAATCGAGCCAATCTTACGCGTCACAACACATCGGCTGAAAAGGCGTGCGGAGCCCAATACGCAAAGTCATCGATGGCGACGAACAACCAAACCAGAGGGAAGGGAAGAAATTGGGGAAGTTCCAGGATATGTTTTTTTTTTTGTGCAATTTATTCTTTCTTAGTATGGAGACTCAATAAAGATGGAGGTTCAAGTTCAAGCATTACAAATAAAAAATAACCCTTCTGTTGCATTCCATAGAAACCACCCCGCCCTCCCAACCCCACCCCCGGTTCAAAGAGAGGAGAGCAGGGCCACCGACCCTCACCGGCTGGGGCGCTCCTCACACAGCCCGGCGGGTCGAGTGGAGCCCTTCGCTCCCCCCCCCCCCCCTCCCCCTCCCCCCCCCCCCTTTACTTAGCTAGCCACTTTAGGGAAAATCCTTTAAAAAAAAAACAACAACTCCGGGCGTTCCTCTCCTAAAATATCGCTACTACTATTACTCCTCCCT